TTACCTCATTCATGCTAAAAGTAAAGTTGTGGTCTCTTTCCAATGAAAAAAAATAGTTTTATTTTTAAAATAAAAAATAATATCATATGTTTGGCCATAAATATAAATTAGAGTTATTTTTTACTTTTTGTGAGCAATATGGATAAAAAAAATATAATACATTTTTGTTGTTTTTTATTTATTTTTTAAAAAATCTAAAAATCCAATTTTTAAAATTTTTTGCCCAAACATATTTCCGAAGTTCAATTCTTAAAAAAGAATCATAGACAAACGCCTAAAAATATATTACTTATAAAACATGATCCACGAGTATCACGATATATCATGGAAGATACAATTAGATCTTGTCAAGTTAATGTATAAAATAAAATAAGGTATTCATATTATGTGTAACTGAAATAGTGAAATCTTTCAAAGGATAAAAATTCTAGCAAAAAATAAAAGAAAAAGGGCATAAGTAGTCTTAATCCTCTATTTAAAAAAGAGTCGTAATCATCTATTCAGTAAATTAATCTATCTTAACCAAAGTGATTTTGTGAAGGATAGAATAAGGATAAAAAACCTAAGTATAATTACATAAAATATTCTCTTGATTTCGGAGATAATTCAAAATATCTTTCATACAAATAATGGTGGTAATGTGGTGCTTAAAAGCTTATGACAGAATATCTTGACAATTTGTTATAGTTATTTTGAAAATTTGATTTCTCTAAAATTTAAATTGAATTTTATCGCTGAAAATTGGTATTATATATATATATATATATAAACATTTATTACTGATGAGGAAGACGTGTCAAACAGGACTCGAAGGCTTTTAGATTGTCAAGCTTTTGATATTGAAGTATGTTGGACACCTAATTACGCGAACCGCACATTAAAATGTGAGCAGGTAGACAAAGATAGAGATATAAATTTATATATGGAACGTACGATGCATTATTCGTGTAACAAATCAAGCTCTTAATAAAGCCAAGCACTAAATTAATATTCCATTTTCATGTCAATGTCTATATGTAATACCATTACTCAAAGTCAAAAATACAACGCAGGTAATTGGTCCACCAGCTAAAGAACCTCCCAATTTAACATAGTATCAAGGGGAAAAGGTAAAAACTATCACTCAATTATTTAAAATATTCTACTACCTTATCATCGTGAGTAGGGGTGTACATAGCCGGGTTGATTCGGGTTTTTCAAATATCAAACCAAACCATTTGTGTTGGATTTTTAAATCTATAAACAAAACCAAACCAATAAAACTCGGGTTTTTCACCTTCGGGTTTTTTCGGATTTTTTCGGGATTTTCGAATTTTCGGGTTTTTCCGGTAAAGTATTCATACAAACATATAATTTACTTCTACTTCAAATATTTCTTTAGTCCTACCAAAATACAACTATCTAAGGTGTTTCTTAAGAAAATAACACAAAATATTATATGAGTAATGATGCTAAAATATCCAACAAAAAATAATAATAATGAAATCGTGTAAAATAAATATTGCAAATTAACAAGTCATAATGAAAATGAACATAATTTAAAAGTACTAAATCATGCTAAAATAAGTTTAATAAGTATTAGTTACATGCATGACTAAATATTAAATGAAATTAAAATTAGATTATGTATTTGAATAAACCAATGTAAAACCATAGAACAAATATTCAATATTATTGTCATTCTTAGTGTTGAATTGATTTATTTTTTTTGCTTTAGTATTAATTTGATTTTGATTTAAGCTTTATTATAATTACCAACATCTGTGGACTATAATTTTTATTGAACTATTTAGAATTGTAAGTTTCAAACTTGAAATAATAATATATTAAAAGATAAAAACTATGAAAAAGTATAAGAAATATTTAAAAAATATATCAAAGTAAATATTTTTATGTATAAAATAAAATTTTAAAATTATATATATAATGTCGGGTTGGTTTGGTCTCGGGTTGTTTTTTTTTAGTTAAAACCAAACCAACCCAAATATAGTCGGGTTTTTGTTTTCAATTCCAAACCAATTCAAACCAACCACTAGTCGGGTTTTTTTTCTCAGTTTGACTCAGTTTGCGGTTTGGTTCGATTTTTGATTCGGTTTTATACACCCCTAGTCGTGAGTGACATCCACATTAACCACCTGGTGGGAGAACAATCTATCAATCCAAAGTTAATCCAACACACCATGTCTCAAGTCATGAAAATAAATAGTAAGAAAATAGTTTAAAACAATTAAAGAAATGAGTGTGTATAAACTCAGTCGTTAGTCCAAATTATTGTGGAAATAAAACCTCTAGAAACTGAAAGTCGTAGTAGCAAAACTCTATTAAGTCAATAATGAGGATGCAACCCCGAAAGCTAGGAAACATAAACTAATAATCTAGAGTTTGTGTCTGAAAAGATAGGCAAGAAGACGTAGAGGAATCCATGGCAGTCTGGAAGAGTAGCTCACCTTGGATTCGAAGTCAAACATCCCTTAACTGAGGTATCATATCAGCCCCTGAAAGATATTCTGTACTCAACAAAAAAACAAACAGGTGCAATATCAACACACAACAGAGTGTACTGGTAGGATCACTCTGTCAGTTCCAAATCATGAATGTAAACAAATAACCACAACATAGTAAACATTAGCCAACACATATAACAACAATTACTATCACATAGACTCACAGTCACAATAACATGAATTAACCAATACCTAGAACATGTCCCACATGATTACAATTACAAGAACCCCACCCTATCGTGGAACCACAAATACACATACATGGTCCTCTCAAGGAACCCACACACAAACTGTTGGTATATCGGCATGGTACCCGAGTCAACTAGAGTTAATATTCTTACGAGGTATGGTTTCGAGCCAACCGTTATTATTCATGTATCAGTGTGGTACCCGGGCCGACCAGCAATCACAAACAATCATACACAATCACAATCACAATGAACAATAACACTTGAAATCATAAGTAAAGTAAATAAGTTCACTGTATAAGATTATCAACATGGTGATATTTCATATGTTTTTCTATGTTTTGCTCAACATGCATTACACAAGTGATACTATAAAGTGGTAGACATGTGTACATCCATAAACTTGAAAACATACAACTATATACCTATTTCAAATTAAGCCTCAATGCTCTAAAGAATCCGAGCCTTCCCTTTTCTCGGTGCCATGGCTTGTTCTTGGTCTAAAGCAATAAATAAAAACAACAATCAATCAAAAATGGCCTAAATATATCAAACTTATACCCAAATCCTAAACTCGGGCCAATTCATGATCATTCTACCAGACCCGAGGCTTTTTCCCACCACTAAATCAAATCAAAATCTTCCCCCAAGAGTAATACCCTAGATTCTAAGGCTTAAGAATCAAATTACAAGATCGGGGAGTAATGAACTTACCTTTACCGATGAATTTGATGAAAAATTGGGTAGAAATTGCCGTAATTTTCTCCTCTCAAACTCAAAAACATTAATGCATAAAATAAAAGGTTTTGAGACTTTTTCTGCGTAAAACCCTGACTTACCCCGCTATAGCAATTGTCACCCCGCCATAGTGCATGCACTCTCCCATTATAGTGGCCTACCGCGCGCTATAGCGGATTGCACGAACTTTAGAGACTCAAAAATTCCTAAAAAGTCCATTTTTCAACATACCTTTCTCCCTTATATCTCTTTCATGCCAAGTTTGATTCTAGGAGTTTTACTCACCCAAAATCAATTTTGTAATAATGTCCTACGGGTTCTTGGTTATAAATCAAGCCTGACATTTTGCCTCATCCATTCTCGGATGGCCCTAGACTTCGCCTCGCTCGAATTTCGTCTGAATTGGTCCATCCTAGAACTTGTCTACAATTATTAGAGGTAGTTTTTTCCCTAACCTACCAAAGCCTTTTTTTTACTTCTAGAAATAATATGCCAACAAATACCTTCTCTCTTTTTTTTCTAACCTCATTCATGTTAAAAGTAAACTTTTGGTCACTTTCCATTTGAAAAAAAATAGTTTTTATTTTTAAAATAAAAAATAATATCATGTGTTGGCCATAAATATAAATTAGAGTTATTTTTTAATTTTTGTGAGCAATTTGGATTGAAAATTTTTAAGATACTTTTTTTTTTGTTTTTTAATCTTTTTTAAAAAAAATTTAAAAATCCAACTTTTAAATTTTTTATGTCAAAACATATTTTCCGGAGTTAGAATTCTTAAAAAAGAATCATAGATAAACGCCTAAAAATATATTACTTATAAAACATGCAGATCCACGAGTATCACCATATATCATGGAAGATTTAATGGGGTCCTTTACAATATTGAAACTTCAACCACTCAACTTATTTTTATTTAATGTATAAAATAAGGTTTACAAATCACAAGGAATTCATATTATGTAACTGAAATAGTGAAATCTTTCAAAGGATAAAAATTCTAGCAAAAATGAAAGAAAATGGGCATAAGTAGTCTTATTAATCCTCTATTTTTTTTAACAAAAAAGTCTTAATCCTCTATTGCATGAATTAATTTATCTTAACCAAAGTGATTTTGTGAAGGATAGAATAAGGGTAAAAAATCTAAGTATAATTACATAAAATATTCTCTTGGTTTAGGAGATAATTCAAAATATCTTTCATACAAATAATGGTGGCAATGGCGTGGTTTTAAAAGCTTATGACAGAATATCTTGATAATTTGTTATAGTTGTTTTGAAATTAGATTTCTCTAAGATTTATTGAATTTTATCGCTGAATATATATATATATAAACATTTAGTACTTGGAACTTACTAGCTTGATTCATTTTATGGAGGGCAAACTGATGAGGAGAACGAGTCAAACAGGATTCAAAGGCTTTCAGATTGTCAAGTTTTTGAAATTGAAGTATGTTGAACCGCACATCAAAATGCAAGCGGAAAATAAAGAACTTTATACATTAAATTTTAAGTTCACATAGTACGCACGTTTTTGGAATTCGATGTGGCATTATAACCCAAAAGACATTTTTTTTTTTGCTTAAGAATGAAAGGATTTTATTTATTTAATATAAGGTTTATCCATTACAAAAAAGGAATTGATCTAAGCGATGTAGTTCCAGTAGAATCTCTTTTGAGAGTTTTTAATATAAAGGAAGGAGATGCATCAAAAAGGCTAAGCTGGTTTATATTCATATTTGGATCCTTTGTTGTCCTTCCGTAATCTGCTAGTAGGTCCGCCACTGATCAGTTAGCCTCCCTCTGAATGTGTTGCAGAGATGCCTCCTCCATCTGCTGGATTAGTGACCTGTAATTAATCAGTGTAAATATGTGAGTAAATAAGATTATTTCCTTTTAATGTATTAAGCAATACCTGAGAGTCAGTTTCCACCAGCAACTGTTTTACTTTATTTTTCCTTTGCTAGGTTCAAACCATGGAGCAATGCCAATAATTCTGCATGAAGGGCATTTCAAAAGACATATTTGTAAAACTGACCATGCATGACATGAACTAATTGACATATTCCCACATTCAATGTATATATAGGTTTATGACAATGACAACATTTTGTCTACAATTATTAGAGGTATTGGAATATATATTCATGCATGTTACATATATTTACACAGCTTTGCTCAATAATTCATTTAGAAAGACAAAATGTTCTATTTATTCCCTCAATATTACTGTTGTTTCTCTCTAAATAAATTATTGTTTTTTTTTTAACTTAAATTAATAACAATCTTATATATTCAAGGTAGACAAAGAAATAGATATAAATTTATATATGCAACGTACGATGCATTATTCGTGTAACAAGTCAAGCTCTTAATAATGCTAAGCACCTAAATTAATATTCCATTTTCATGGCAATGTCAATATACGTAATACCATTACTCAAAGTCAAAAATACAACGCAGGTAATTGGTCCACCAGCTAAAGAACCTCCCAATTTAACATAGTATCAAGGGGAAAAGGTAAAAAAATATCACTCAATTATTTAAAATATTCTACTACCTTATCGTCGTGAGTGGCACCCACATTAACCACCTGATGGGAGAACAATGTATCAATCCAAAGTTAATCCAACACACCATGTCTCAAGTCATGAAAAGAAATAGTAAAAAATTAGTTTAATACAATTAAAGAATTGAGTGTGTATAAACTCAGTCGTTAGTCCAAAATATTGCGGAAATAAAACCTCTAGAAACTGAAAGTCGTAGTAGCAAAACTCTATTTAGTCAATAATGAGGATGCAACCCTGAATGCTAGGAAACATAAACTAATAATCTAGAGTTTGTGTCTGAAAAGATAGGCAAGAAGACGTAGAGGAATCCATGGCAGTCTGGAAGAGTAGCTCACCTTGGATTCGAAGTCAAACATCCCTTAACTGAGGTATCATATCAGCCCCCGAAAGATATTCTGTACTCAACAAAAAAAAAACAGGTGCAATATCAGCACACAACCAGAGTGTACTAGTAGGATCACTCTGTCAGTTCCAAATCATGAATGTAAACAAATAACCACAACACAATAAACACAAGCCAACACATATAATAACAATCACAATCACATAGACTCACAGTCACAATAACATGAATTAACCAATACCTAGAACATGTCCCACATGATTACAATTACAAGAACCCCACCCTATCGTGGAACCACAAATACACATACATGGTCCTCTCAAGGAACCCACACACAAACTGTTGGTATATCGGCATGGTACCCGAGTCAACTAGAGTTAATATTCTTACGAGGTATGGTTTCGAGCCAACCGTTATTATTCATGTATCAGTGTGGTACCCGGGCCAACCAGCAATCACAAACAATCATACACAATCACAATCACAATGAACAATAACACTTGAAATCATAAGTAAAGTAAATAAGTTCACTGTATAAGATTATCAACATGGTGATATTTCATATGTTTTTCTATGTTTTGCTCAACATGCATTACACAAGTGATACTATAAAGTGGTAGACATGTGTACATCCATAAACTTGAAAACATACAACTATATACCTATTTCAAATTAAGCCTCAATGCTCTAAAGAATCCGAGCCTTCCCTTTTCTCGGTGCCATGGCTTGTTCTTGGTCTAAAGCAATAAATAAAAACAACAATCAATCAAAAATGGCCTAAATATATCCAACTTATACCCAAATCCTAAACTCGGGCCAATTCATGATCATTCTACCAGACCCGAGGCTTTTTCCCACCACTAAATCAAATCAAAATCTTCCCCCAAGAGTAATACCCTAGATTCTAAGGCTTAAGAATCAAATTACAAGATCGGGGAGTAATGAACTTACCTTTACCGATGAATTTGATGAAAAATTGGGTAGAAATTGCCGTAATTTTCTCCTCTCAAACTCAAAAACATTAATGCATAAAATAAAAGGTTTTGAGACTTTTTCTGCGTAAAACCCTGACTTACCCCGCTATAGCAATTGTCACCCCGCCATAGTGCATGCACTCTCCCATTATAGTGGCCTACCGCGCGCTATAGCGGATTGCACGAACTTTAGAGACTCAAAAATTCCTAAAAAGTCCATTTTTCAACATACCTTTCTCCCTTATATCTCTTTCATGCCAAGTTTGATTCTAGGAGTTTTACTCTAGAAATAATATGCCCACAAATACCTTCTCTCTTTTTTTCTAACCTCATTCATGTTAAAAGTAAACTTATGGTCACTTTCCATTTGAAAAAAAATAATATCATGTGTTTGGCCATAAATAGGGGTGTTCACGGTTTGGTTTGGGTCGGTTATTGGTCAAAACCAAAACCAAAC